GTTTGGGGTCTGGTTATCCCTGGGGGCAGTCTGGGGTCCAGGCATCCTTGCGGAGAGCTCAGCACGGAGGGCCCATGTAGCATCAGGGTGGATCCTCTAGGATATCAAGATTTTGGGGTGACTCCTCTGCCTCCAGCATCACTGCACCAAGGGGAGGGAGGGGGCTGGTTTGTGGCCTCTCAGCCCTGTGTGCAGGGAGATGCTGCCATCTCACAGTCCCCCCACATTCTTTCCCTTCCCTCAGGATGAGCACTGCTCCTCCCTGTGCCCCTCGGACACCTTTGGGCTGAACTGCTCGGAGCACTGCTCCTGCCAGCACGGCGTTGCATGCTCCCCCATCGACGGCTCCTGCATCTGCAAGGAAGGTGGGCAGGGTTGGGGGGGTTGGGGACAGCTGGAGTGATGCGTGGCCATCCCCGTGCCCACCCCACCACCCTCTCGCTCTGCAGGCTGGCACGGACCTGACTGCTCCACACCTTGTCCTGATGGCACCTGGGGCCCTGGCTGCAATGGGAGCTGCGACTGCGCCCACGGGGCCACCTGCAGCGCCCAGAGTGGGGTCTGCAGCTGCACCCCAGGATGGCACGGCCCCCGCTGCCACCAGCCCTGCCCGGTGAGTGTCCCCCTACAGCACCCGAACGCGGTGCCACTGCCTCCAGCACCGCCATCCCCAGTGCCACCATCCTCAGTGCCACCAATTCCTGGCACCACCTTCCCCAGTTCCACCCTCCCCAATGTCAACCTCATCCCTGAACCCCAGAATGGGACATTTGGTGCCGGCTGCGGGCAGCGCTGCGAGTGTGCCCACGCAGATGGCTGTGACCCCATCACTGGAGAGTGCCACTGCCTGCCTGGGTGGACAGGTGAGGGAGCTGGGCTGGGGATACCCCGCTGTGCCCTGCCCCTGTCCCTCATTGCTCTTGCTGCCCATAGGGCTGCAGTGCAAGCAGAGCTGCCCGCAGGGCTCCTGGGGCCGAGGCTGCCGCCAGCCCTGTGTGTGCCGCAACGGAGCGTCGTGCTCTCCTGAGGACGGATCCTGCACCTGCACCCCAGGCTTCCGTGGCCCCATGTGCCAGCGCCGTGAGTGCCCCGCAGGGGTGTTCTCCCCATCCCTCGAACCCCATGGGGCTGAGGCCGGGTGCGCTCGTCTCACGGCAGCCCCGTGCCCGCAGAGTGCCCTCCTGGCCGCTATGGAAAGAGGTGTGCGCTGAGCTGCTCCTGTGCCAACGGCTCCTCCTGCCACCATGCCACCGGTGCCTGCCTCTGTGCCGCGGGCTGGAGCGGCCCCCACTGCTCCCAGCGTGGGTATGGGGACACGGGGACGAGGATGAGGGCTGGTGCCAGCGGGCTGATCATCTCCTCGCCCCACCACCAGCCTGCACACCCGGCTCCTGGGGGGATGCCTGCTCCCAGCGCTGCCAGTGCCACAACAGGGGGACGTGTGACCCGGTTGATGGGACGTGCCACTGCCCCGCGGGATGGACAGGAACCAGCTGTGAAGAAGGTAGAGGACCCCCCTCCCAGCTGAGGCTCTGCGCACCCCCCGAGGGTGCAGCCTGGGGGTTCTGGGGGAGTGATTTGGGGCTGCTGTCTGAGCAGTATGGAGCTATACAGAGCCACCCACCCTCCGTACCCCTGCAGAGTGCCCTCCTGGGACCTTCGGATTGCACTGTGACCAGCTATGCCACTGTCCCCACAATGCCACCTGCCACCCCGTGAGCGGGACGTGCCCGTGTGCCCCAGGCAGGAGCGGGCCCCACTGTGAGGCTGGTGAGTAGGCATGGAGAAGGTTGGGGGCAAGATGTGGGGGGGCAGCTCCCCACCTGTTCTAAGGATGATCCCTTTCCCCTACATCTACAGGGAACCCCGATCAGCCCTACACCATCGTGCCAGCCCCTCCATTGCCCTACAGCACGCTGGGGATGGTGGTCAGCCTGGTGGCCCTGGTGGCTCTGCTGGTGGCCGTGGTGGCTGTGGCACTGTGCTACCGCCACCGGCAGAAGGGAAAGGAGAACCGGCACCTGGCCGTGGCGTACACAGCAGGACGGACGGACACCTCTGAGTACGTGGTGCCAGGTGAGCGGCACGCTGGGACGCGGCTCCAGGCCCCCCAGGCACCAGGACTGATGTCTGTCCCCCAGATGTGCCACCGAACCACACGCACTACTACTCCAACCCCAGCTACCACACGCTGTCCCAGTGCACGCTGCCTGCCCCCGGCAGCCAGGACAGAGCCGGCTCCCTAAAGGTACGGCACGGCACAGCATGGCACAGCGTGGCACGATGCCATGGTGCGGTGTGGCACGTTGTGGTGCGCCGTGGTGCGTGACCATGCAGAGCAGCACAGCTTTGCATGGAGCGCCGAGGCACAGGGCAGCATGTTTCATCGTGCTGCGTGACAACAGAACGGTGCAGCACGGTGTTGCACAGTTCACCACGGTACGGCGTGACATGGCATGGCATGGGGAGCTCTGCAGCTATGCTGTCTCTTGTTTTGGCTGCAGGTCCCCAGCTCCCAGCCCTTCCACGGTGTAGAGAGGCCCTATGGCCCTGATGGCAATGCTACCCTTCCTCCTGACTGGAAGCACCTGGGGGCACCACCACAGGGAGCCAGGGGTAAGAAGGGGCAGCTCTTGGGAAGGTGGCAGCCGTGCATTTGGGGGTGCTTTAGGAGGTGGAGAGGACCAACGGGACCCCTTCCCCTGGCTCTCGTGGTGCTTGGTTTCCAGGTGGAGGGCAGATGGACCGGAGCTACAGCTACAGCTACAGCTGCAGCCTGGGGAAGTACTACAGCACGGGTACCAAGGGGACTGGGAACGGGGACGGGATGGAGCAGGGATGGGATGGAGAGGGGAAGGTGGATGGGGCCTGAATAGGACCCATGTGGGCACGGCTGCTCTCTCTATATTGGTGATGGGGACCCCTCTGCCTCCCCCACAGAGCACCCCCAGGAGGGGCTGAGGGCCAGTGGCAGCTCTCTGGCCAGCGAGAATCCCTATGCCACCATCAAGGACGTGCCACCGCCGCTGGCCAAGGCTTCCGAGGGCAGCTACATGGAGATGAAGTCCCCGGTGCAGCGAGAGATGTCCTACGCAGAGATCGGGCTCCTGGAGGAGCCTGACAGCAACGAGGAAGGCACGCCCGGGGGATGGGGGGGAGTCGGGGGGGCATCCTGGTGGAGGCACAGCCCTGCGGACAGGAGACTCCCATCTCCCATCGTTCTCCTCCCTACAGAGAGCAGCCCGGGGGGGGCAGAAGGCGCAGCTCCAGCCCGGAACGTTCCCAGCCACTACGACTCGCCTAAGAACAGCCACATCCCCAGCCACTACGACGTGCCCCCCGTCCGTCACCCGCCGTCCCCTCCGCTCCGCAGGAAGGATCGCTGAGGACCCCCCTCCCCCCACCTTCACATCGCGACACGTGGACGGGAAACGCCGCCCTGCAGCGGGGACACCGCGAGACGGCAGCGGGCAGCCCGGGGTCCGCGCAGGACCGGATCCCCCCCCCATAACGGGTCCGTCCCCGCCGCCGCCGCTGTCCCGCGGCCCTCGCGGCGCTGCTGTCAATAAAGCCGGGTCGGTTGTGGGAGCGGCGTCTTCCAGGAGTCGCGTCCTTGGGAGGAGGGCGGTGAGGGACGCGCAGCAGCGCTGGCTCCGCGACGGCAGCGGCACGAAATCCAGGAAGGAACCCGGGGGGAGCGGAGCGCGGCCATGGAAACCGCGTGGGGGGGCGGGGAGCGGAGCTTCGACGGCCCAAAGGCGGATTGAAAGCGCGCGCGGTGATTGGTCCGATGGCGGCGGTGGGCGGGGCCCAGAGGTTTTGCCACGACTCGTCCGAAAAACGGAGCCGAAGTGCACGCGGCGATTGGCTGGAATGGTGACAGATAGCGCCCATCGATTGGTTCGGAAGCGGACCAATGGGGCTTCAGCAGCGGCGCATCGCCTATAAAAGCGCGAGGGCGGACGCTGCTGCTTCCCGTTCGCGCTCGGCGCTCCGTGCTGCCGCCGGTGCTTCGTCCTTCGTTTCTCGTCTGCGTCGGCCGCGGCGCCGCGCTCAGGCGGTGAGGTGGGTCCGGACCGGGACCTTCAGCCCCTTATGGTGCCTCCATAGGAGCCCGCACAGTTCTTCCCCCTCTCCATTGAGGGTCTCTGTAGCATCCTCTGGTTCAGGGAATAACTGTGACACCCCCCTCCACCCCGCCCAAGCTGCCAGCATGCAGTGGTGGAGGGAGAGTATTGCCTGGTGTTAGGCTCTCCCAGTGGCTGCAGAGATGGAGAGTGAGCAGAGAGCTGAGCAAGGTGCTGGTAAGACTGAGCTTAGTGAAATGGGGGCTGGGGGGACCGAAGGGATTCCCCCCACACACCCTGTGCTCCTTTTAAGAGCAATACCAGTGCTGTGGGCTCCTGCAGCAAGACCTGACAGAGCTCTGTGCCTGGGCTGGCATCACCTCCATCCCCAGGGTCACTGTGCGGCCTTCCAGTGCAGCAGGTGAGGAGCTGGGGGCGGCTGGGGGGGCAGGGAGGAAGAGATTTGATTCCTCGGACACTGCTTCACCCACAGCTGAGGGTGCAGAGCCTTGCAGACTGGGGGAGCGCTGCATCCAAGTGGAGCTGCAGAATGACAGCGACCCCCGGAGCGTCTGCGGGGTCTTCTTGCGAGGTGGGGAAACGGCACTGGAGAAGAGTGAGCCATGCCAGCCCTCCCCCTGCCACTCCCAGCCTCTTGGGTGGCTGAAGCCACGGATTGAGAATTTTCCCTCATTCCATCTCTTGCGTCCTGCAGGCTGGAAAGTAGAAGAAGAGATGCTGGGTGTGCTCAGCAAGTGCCTGCCTGCCCTGGCCAACCTGAAGGTCCTAAAGTGAGTATGGGGGGGAGGAGGGGGTGCGAGTGGCCCCCAGGCAGTGCCCAGTGATAGGAATGGCCAAGTGATGCCATCTGTCCATCTGTCCTTGCAGCCTTTGGAGCACTGGGCTGGCTGATCACATGCTGCCTGCGCTGGGCACAATGGTGGCAAGGTGCCCCCGGCTCTGGTAGGTGGGATGGGAGGGGAAGCTGGAGGTCTTGTTCTCATTAATTGAGATAGTCTTGGTGCTGTTTTACCCCACAGGTCGCTCACCCTGGAGGGGAACCCTTTGCCAGAGCACTCCTTCCATGTGCTGATGGGGGCCAGCAGCACGTGAGTGCCAGGCTGATCCCTTGGCACAGCGCTCAGATCCCCAGCTACAGAGTGACTCCCCCCAATGTCTCCCACCTCCCCCCAACCCCAGGCTGTCCCACCTGTCTCTGCGCAACAACTGCATTGATGACAGGGCTGCACAACTGCTGGGACAGGGCCTCTCCAGCATGAGCTCCTCCAACCACAGCCTGCTGTCGCTGGTCCTCAGCTTCAACCGCATCTCTGACGTTGGTGCAGAGCACATTGCTGAGGTGGGGGCAGAAGGGCCACAGGGGAGCTGAATGCTGTCTGTGCCCCTTCCCAGCACCTTTCTCATCCTCCCCAGGGGCTGCGCTGGAACCGCTCACTGCTCTCCCTGTCCCTGGCCCACAACCGCATTGGGGACGTGGGGGCAGTGAAGCTGGCAGAGGTGCTGCAGCCCTTCAAGCTGAGGCACGAGGAGGTGGTGGAGCGCAGGCGGCTGCTGATGGAGGAGCAGGGACAGCCCCATGCAGTGAGCTTTGGGTAGGTGGGAGCTTTTCCTTTTGGGGGCCCTATCTCTGAGTGTCTGTCTTTTTGACATCCCCAAACAGGCTGAATCCAGCAGTGGGCATGCCCTCAGCCTGCAGGGCAGTGCAGCTGCAGGCAAGCTGTCTCCAGCCAAGCAGCGCACGGGCACAACCAAAAAGAAGGTGAAGAGGCAGGCAGCCAGCATGGGGTCTAACATGGGGTCTTTGGGTACCCCTGCTGGGGGTGTCTGGGGGTGGGTGGTGCTGTAGCTGTGCCTGAGTTTCCCCGTTTCCCTGTGCTGGGTGGGGGTCACAGAGGGTCTCACAGTGCTGCCCAAGGGGTGCAGTGGGGCTGAGCTCGCTGCCCTTTGCAGGAGCTGCTGCGGAAGGACAAGAGCAAGCAGAGCAAGAAGTGTGAGTGAGGGTGCTGGGGGGCACGCTGGGGGAGCTGCTCCTGGCTCAGCTCCTGCCATTCTGCTCTTCCTGCAGCAACGGCCCCTTCAGACTCCCGCCGCAGCCGTGGTGCAAAGGGTGCCATCGGGGAGCAGCAGGGCACTGAAGTGAGCAGTGCAGTGGGACTTGGGGGGGAGAGAGGGGAGGGGGGGGCACTCTGGTGTGGATCCTCAGGACCCAATGCCCCCAGGCAGGGGATCCAGCTGAGCCCAGGCACCCACTGCTGGAGCCGGGCTTGCACCGCGATGGGAATGTCATCCTGCCTGGGAACCGGGTGCTCCTCAACCTCAACCTGTCCCGTGAGTGTGGGGCTGGGGGGGGCCTGGCTGCAGCACGGCCCCGTCCCCATGCTCGTATCCTCCCCCCGCAGACAACCGGATCACGGAGCGAGGCCTGGGCGCGTTGCTGGCTGCGGTGGAGGAGCAGGAGGAGCATGAGGGAGCCGGAGGGAAACAGGGGCTGCGTTGCCTCTCATTGAATGTAAGCTGGGCTCACGATGGGGGCTGCGGGCAAGGCACGGCCTCATTCCCTGTGCCCCTCTCTTAGAGGAACAGCTTCTCCAGTGCCTGTGCCGCCTTCACCCGGCTCCAGGAGCTGCTGCTGCAGCGGGACCCCCTCCCCAAGCCTGCAGAGGATGAGGAGGAGCGCAGCCAGGATCCCTGAGTGCCGTGAGAAGCAGCGCTTTTCTGGGCTTTTAAAAATAAATTTATTTTTAATTATTGTTTTCCATGGAAGGGAAAAAAAAAAGGAAACTGCTGGTAGCAGCTGCACGGATCCCAGGAAGGAACGCGGGGGAACCCAGCGCGGCCGGAGGTTGACATAGAAACCGCGTTGGGGGGGGGCGGGGATCGGCGCTTCGAGATCCCAGAGGCGGATCCAAAGCGCGCGGGGTGATTGGCTGGAAATGGCCACGGCTTGTGCCAGCGATTGGTCCAGAAATGGACCAATGGGGTTTCAGCAGCGGCGCGACGATTGGTGCCGCCGTGAGCCACCGGTGTCCTATAAAAGGGTGCGGACGGGGCCTGCAGCGACCCCTAACGGCTCGGAGCGAGCGCTGCCCTGACCGCGCCTTCCGAGTGACTCCGCGTCCCTTTCGGCTCCTTCCTGCTTCGTACCCCCATCTAATTATTGACCCTATCTAATTATTGACCCCACCTAGGGCTGCACTCAGGTGCTGGAAGCCTCAGCCCCTGTGGGACCTCCGTAGGATCCCCAGTAGTTCTCCCCTCCTCCCGGGGAAATCCCCCCCCACCCCATAAGGACCTCGATAGCATCCATAGCCCTGGCACCCCCGTGGCTTCCTCCAGCCCAGTGGGTAACTGAAACACCCCCCAGCTGCCAGCATACGGCGGCGGAGGGAGCAAAACCCCAGCCTTGGGGGCAGGAGGAGGAGCACAGCCTGGATCCGTGTGCCTGCAGGTGAAGAACAGCACATTTCTGGGCTTTTCTTTAAAAAATAACAACAACAATAAATTTCTTTACCATGGAAAGGAAGAAAATAAAACAGATGATACAGCATCAAACAGCAACCAGTCAGTCTCGGCTCTATTATATATATTATATATATCAGACACCCCAGCGCCGGCCTCGCCTCTACGCGTGGGATGGGCGGACGCTGCCCTTCGCCCCAGCCCTGGGGACAACGCTGTCCCCAATGGGGGTGACACGGGGGGGGGGGGGGGCGGGGGGGTTATTTACACGACGGGTGCACATACGTACATATTTATAGTCAGCGGGGAGCGGCGGGCCGCAGCACGGAGAGGAACAAAACAAAGTGCATTTATACAGACTAGATCCAGCGCTCGCGGCCAGGGGTGCAGGGAGCCAGGCTGGGGCTGCCATGCAGGGTGGGGGGGGGCCCAGGGGTCCTGTGCTCCCTCCTTCCAAGAGGAGCCCCCCCACCACCTCCCAGGTGAGGCTGGCACTGCTCCCAGCCGCCAGGGGGTGGAGGGGGCTGGTGGGCAGCTCCCCAGCTTTGAGTGATTGTGGGGGGGAGACCCCCACCCCGCTCCGTGGCTAAAGGTCGGCGGTGTGCGCGGGGTCTTCGGCCAAGGGGGCTCTGCAGCCTGGAGGAGAGGAGATAAGAAGGGTGTGAGGGGGGAGGAGCTGGAGTCAGGGGGTGTATGAAGGTTTCCCTCCGACCCCAGCCATTCTAAGGGGATGATTAGGGAGAAAGGGGTGAGGAGTATGTGGAGAAGATACTGAAGGGGGACAGAGAGAATGGGGCAAGAGAGGTAAGTGAGAAGGATGGCAAAAAGTGGGGCCGTGAGGGGGATGGGGAGATGGAGACCCGAGGGAAAGGAGATGGGGTGCTGCCACTCACCTGGGATGTTGGTGCTGTGGCCCTGCAGGCTCCGCAGGGAGCGGGTCAGGGGGCTGTCAGCCTCGGGGCTGTGGGGCCGCTGGGACCACCCCTCCATCCCAGGGGCCGGGAGCCCCACAGGGGTGGTGTCTGCAGATGAGCTGTGACCCAGGGACCGCAGCAGCTCCCGGTGGGCAGCTTCCACAGCCTGGGGAGGCACGGAAGGGAAAGGGCACGACGTCAAGGTGGGGAGGGCACAGGTTTGAGGTTTCCCATTCTGTTATCTCCCCCCTCAACTGGGGCTCACCTTCAGCCTGTTGAGCTTCAGTGTCAGCTGCTCGATGGTGCGGAAGATGAGGTCGACATCGTGGAGGGGGCCGGGTGGGTCTGGGGGACCCTCAGCAGCGCTGGGCCGGGGGGGTTCCTCCGGTTGGATGGCCTGGGGGGGTCCTGGAGGCGGCGCAGGCTCGGGGGGCCCGGCAGGCATGCTGACGTAGAAGTAGTTACCTGTGAGGGAGGGGAGGAGCAGTTTTAGTGCGGTGGGGGGCATCAGGGCTGCGGTGGCACTCCGTGTCCTCAGCTGTGGGAACAGCCCTCGGGGACATGGCCCCCTCCCACCCCTCCCCAAGGATACAGCACCCCCCAGGGACACATGTCCCCCTGGAGGACATGGCTGCCTTCAAGGGACAGGAGGGCATAATGGGGAAACACGGCTCTGGGGACTCAAGGACACCCCCAGGAAGGGATGGGGGTCTCTTTACCATCTACATTAGCTCCGCCTCCTTCCTGCAGCTCAGTTTCTGATTGGCTGCTGCCTGGCGAGGGCGTGGCCTCCTGAGCACCCTCCGCTGGGGCTGTGCACCCCAAAAAGAGAGGGGGGAGGGAGAGGGAAGGGGTGAGCTGGCCCCGCCACCAGCACCCACCACCAGCACCAATCAGCATCCCATCACCAGCACCCGTATACCAGCACAGCATTGGTCAGCATCCCAACACCAATTAGCACCTCAGCACCAGCACCCATCAGCTCCCCACCACCAGCACCCAAATACCAGCACCCCAGCATCAGTTAGCATCCCACCACCAGCACCCATCATAACCCACCACCAGCACCCCAGCTTTGATCCACCAAAGCTCATGCAGAGAGACCCCAAATCCCAGCGAGGGGAGAGAAAGGAACAGTCCCCAGGTGCCCCCCCATGCCCGGTTGGGGGCTGGCAGCCCTCCATACCTTTCCGGACCACCTTGTAGCTGCTCTGCTCCTCAGCAGACACTGGGGGCTTTGGCTCCTCGGCAGCACTGGGGGGCTCAGCCAGCACCTCCTGGGAGGCTGAATCCTGGCTGGAGAGCACCGAGTCCCAGGTGTGGGTACCACCGATGACCGACGGCGTGGGTGTCAGGTCATCCTCAGGCTCTGTGTCACGGCTGGGCAGGAGCCGCCGCAGGATCAGCAGCCGCAGGTTCTCCACTGGGACGGGGGGAGAGAAGGGTTGGGGGAGTTTGACACCACAGGGTGGGCCTCCCCAACCCCTCTGAGCACCACTCACCATCCTCCAGGGCTGCCTCGGCCAACCCCTCGGCCGGGCTGGGAACTGGCAGTGCCAGGCGCATGGAGGGCTCTGGGAGAGCACCAGACACCTCTGTGTGCAGGGATCCAGCAGGAAGCTCTTCCTCCTCCACCTCGCTGCTCTCCGGCTCCTCCAGCAGCACGGGGGGCTGCTCCCTGCCCAGCAGCTCCGTGGGATTGTCATCTGCTGCAGGGAGAGGGGAGAGCTCAGGGTTGTGTACCAACCCCAGGGACAGGTGGATAACTGAGCACGGGGAATCACCTGAGGAGCTCTCCTCCACCTCTGCTGCAGAGCTGCTGACTTGGGATAGGATGGGGGAGACATCAGGGTCCTGCAACACCAGGCTGAGGATGGAAAGGGGTTAGACTGGAAGATGGCAGTGCTAAGGGACCAGGAGCCCTGGGAGCTGCCTCTGGGTCTCCAGCAAGTAGCTCCCGCAGCAGGGAGAACTCATGTCTCTGGCCCCACCAGCTGGGGACACTCATCACTGCCACCCAGTGCAGACCAGGCTCCAGCCCTGCTCCCAGTGAGGCCACGCTGCTCACCTTGAAGGTGCCATGCGGGTGGGCTCTGGCATCTGGCGCTTCGGGGGGAAGGTGGCATTCCTCATGGCACTCTGCACCGCCTCCTCCAGCACCTCCATCCACCTGGACCCCAGCCCAGAGCACCGTCAGCTCCTGGGGGGGTCACACTGGGGAGCCCCCTCCCCAGCCACACAGTGCCCATGGCACCAGCACCCCTTTAGCCCTTACGTGTTCTTCTCGGAGGACGTCAGTGCCACCAGCTCATAGATCTGGGGTCCCAGCTCTGACGTGCAGATGATGAAGAAGGCTCGTTTATCTGCACATGGGACAGAGCAATGGAGAAGGTCAGGGTATGGCAAAGAACACGCTCGGAGGACAAGTCCCCTGCCACCCCCTGCGTCCTGCAGTCCCCTCACAACCTGTGGCCACGGAGCGGATGAGCACTGAGTTGAGCTTGAGGACGGGGCTGAAGGTCTGCTTGTTGTCCAAGGAGCCCAGAGCTGTCTTGCCGTGGCACTTGAGCACCAGCTTCTCATCTTGTTTCTGCAGCAGCACCAGGAGGTCCTCAAGGAGCAGCACGTGCAGATCTGGAGCGGAGAGCAGAGAGAAGAGGCTCAGGGTTGTGCTTACAGCCCGGGAAGGATGGCCCTGAGGACACAACGTTTTCAGCTGGCACAGCCTCAGAGGGTCCTCAGAATGCCACCAGGGCTGGAGGTGGCCCATGTTCTGCAGGACCCGAGGGGAGGCCCATACCCACGGTCTTGTCCTTGCTGATACGCCAGGTGAGCGGCCCTTCGTGGATCATGCGCCGGGAGGTGAGGTCCAGGCTCTGCAGCAGGGAAGGGCAGCGGTGAGCGTGCTGGCACTAAGGCACCCCCCCCAGCCCCCAGGAGCTGGGATCACCTTGAACTCAGCTGCCAGCGGGTTGCTGGTCCTCTCCAGCGAGGTGGCATCCAGGCGTTTCTGGTAGCCCTCCAGCCGATGTCGGTTCTCTGCCTGCTTCACCGCTTCGTTCACATACTTGAGGATGTCCCGGCACTGGTCTCGGGCCCGGCACAGCTTGTCATGCTCCGAGGTGCCCGCTGGAGCAGGGTGAGGGTCAGGGGGAGCAAGTGCAGCCCCGTGTAGCTGAGCAGCACTCACACCCGTGGCTGAATCCCGAGCCCATATGGAGCCAGCCCAGAGCTGATGGAGGGGAGGAATCCCCCCAGCACCCACCCATCCTGGCTGGACAGCAGCACACCCTCCTCACAGCCCTGAGATTGGCTCTGGGTGAGAACAGCCACGAGTCCTCCAACCCCTACCCTCAGTGTGCTTGAGGATGTTCTCCAGCAGCAATGGGTACTTGGTGAGACGTTGCATTTCTGAGATGATCAAGTCCTTGAGCTGCAGGCGCCGGCACTGAGGATTGCTTTCTGCTTCCTAGGGCAGGAGGAAGAGGATGAAGGCCCTGGGGTGTGAGCAGGGGCAGCCAGGAGACACACGGGGTGAGAAGCAGCCCAAGAGTGGACCGAACCTGCATGAAGATCTGGAAACGGGTCTCCTTGCGCTGCTTGGTCTTGATAAGCTCCAGCGCGATGGACTGATAAGAGCAGAAGTCAGCAGTGACCTGCTGGATCTCCTCCTTGGCCAGGCCGTCGAACTGGGGGCACGGAAAGATGTGGGCTCAGAAATCACAGACCTGGCCCACCAAGACCCCATGGTGGCTCTCCCAGAGCTCCTTTGTCCCCGTGTTCTGGTTCCCAGAGTGAGCGGCACTGGGGCACAGCGCAGGTCTCTGTGACAGCAGGGTCACTTCTGCACTCTGTACTGAAACCTCCAGGACCCTCTGTCTACTCCTAGGGGACGTGATGTCCTGATGTCCCCAGGGCTGGAGTCGCCCCATCCCCTCTGAGCAGCCACCCCTCCTCACCCGGGACAGCATGAGATCCCCGATTTCCTTAATGATTGGTCCTTCTTCCCGGAGCTTCTTCATAGATTCGGAGAGGGAATCTGGAGGAGGAAGTGGGAGACACAGTGAACTTTGACTGCTGCTGCCATGAGTGAAACTGAAAGTGGGCTACAAAGATCTGCAACGATCAAACAGCCCAGCCAGACACGGGCATTGGCAGATCCTGGAATAACAGGCTCTGGAGAGCCCCCAGCAGAGGGAAACAGGGCTGGAACAGAGAGGACGATGTTCCCAGCAAGGCTGGTCACTGCACAGCCCAGGGCAGTGCTGCCACTGCAGGGCAGAGGGGAGGGAAGGAAGAACTTACTGTGGATTTCAATCACATCTGGGAGGTTGGGGAAGAGCAGCGCCAGCTCCTCCCGGGACAGCAGGCTCTCCTTCCTCATCCGCTGGTAGAAGAGGAGGTCGAGGACTCGGAGGATGCGGAGGTGAGACCCCTCCGTGGCAAAGAGCTCTGTTGAGAGGCAGAGGAGTTGGAGGTGTCCCCGGGCTGTGCCTGCAGCCCCAGCTCCTCACTCCTAGCTCCTCACCATTGATCACTTCCTGCCGGTCAATCTCCTTCTGAGGCAGGCTGGCCAGCAGCTCCCGGCCCACCGTGTGCTGCCAGTTCTGTGCATCCAGCTCGGGCTCCAGGTCCGAGAGTTGGCCCTGCTCATCCTCCAGCAGGTGAGGCAGGAAGGGGTCGGCGCCGAAGCCCAGGCTGGGCGACTCAATGCTCCTGGGTGGATGAAAAGCAGCAGTGGGAGTACTCTGCAACCCTACCCCCCATGAGCCCGCCTGCAGCACTCCCAGCACAGCCAATATCTACCTGGGCCCTATTTCGGCTTGAACCTGGGACCTTCAGCACAAGAAGCACAAGCCTCTGACTCTTGAGCTAACAGACTAGGTCCCCCAGCAGCCATCTATATAGGTCGATTAAGCTCCTGCATGAGACACAAGGGAACAGAGGTGCCCCCTAACCCCTGGGACGGGGAGCTGGCGTTACGTAGGACTGCACCAAGGGGAGGCATCTCTGGGGGCTCCCTCCCTCCCTCCCAGGGCAGCCCTAAGCATCACTTCCCCTCTATCAAGGCACGGGAGAAGCTAGGAAATCCCCTCTGACACCCCCAGCCCCCTCTACAGTGACCCTCCTGCTCTGTAGGACCCAGCCCTAGAGGTGGCGGCGGGCTCGGGGTGGTGAAGTAGAGGCGATGGCAGCAGCAGCCGTGCCACTCACCTGCGTCCCATCTTCGGCGTGTAGGGGGGGGTGGGATTCTCCAGCGACCTGGGGAGAGATGGCAGCATCACCCATGAGACCCCGTGGCACCCACAGGGCCCTCTCCTCCCAATACAGCACCCTGCAGCACTTCCCAGGAGCAAATCTCTCAAGATGAGGGGCACGTGCCACCCACTGCAACGCAGAGCTTGGGGCACAAATGTGCATTAAACCCAATTCTAACTGGTTTCCCACGACAAACATCAGCTGTGAAGTTCTGCAGGTAAGGACTGAGCGGCCAGAGCTTGGCCTGGATTCTCAGGGCTTGCCCAGGAGGCAGCATCCCAACCCAAGGGGTGAGGCGCAGAGCCCAGACACTGTGGGCAGGCACTGGACATCCCAGCTTCCTCCTGAGGGCCACAGGGAACTGCTGTCCCCCCTAGCCTGGCTCTGTTGGCAGCTCCCACCTGGTGGACAGACTGGAGGCAGAGGACGACGCTGACTGGTGAAGCCTGGTGGCCTCGGCTGCAGCATCCATGTCCACATCGCTACGGGAGCGGGGCACGTTTTCTGCTTTCCGCGATTTCTTCATCTCTTCACGGCCTTTCAAGCTCTCTGAGCGGCCCAGCTTGACCTCAGCACGAGATCTGCAGCGGGGAGACAGAGCCCGGAGCATCAGGCTGAGGGACGCACAGGCAGAAAACACGGGGTGAGAGCACAGAGGGCAGGAATTGCCACCCCAAACCCCTCCTACCCGTCACCCTCCAGCAGGTCCTCCGGGAAGCTGCCGGTGGAGAGACGCTGCGAGCCAGGCTCCTGGCTCTCATAATGCTGGTTGTTCTCAAAGTGCTGGATAATGTTCCTCACATTGCCGGGTTTGACTGCTAGGGCAAAGAGAAGGGAGAGACCCCAGTGAGGGCAGGCAGGAGGAGATGGACGGTGGCATTGCTGCCCTCACCGTGGGATGTCACCAAGGCCACCACTGGGGCTTCCCTGGGGACATCCAGAGTGCCCGTGGGCAGCCCTCCTCCCTCCCCACAGCCCATCCAGTGCCTGGTGCAGCAGTGCTGGGGGGACAAACCAAAACTGAGCACGTGAGATGAATGGCAAATAAAAGAAAAGGGCTTTTACCTTCGACAGGGGACAAAGGGACATGAAATGCTGAAAGGAAAAAAAAACAAAAATGAGATGTCAAATCAATCCTGCGTATCAACAGCGGAGGAGGCAGAGAAGGGAGCGTGTGAGCTAATGGTGTAAGAACTGAAAGCAGGAGGGGGGGAACACACACACACGTGTCAGAGCACACACGCACACACGTGTCAGAGCACACACGTGTCGTTGCATGCTCTCCACCATCTCAGCCCACCCCGCAGCTCCTGGCAAGCTTGCAGGATGGGGCAGCGAATTAATTTTGGGGTGAGCACTGCTCAGCTCCCCTTCCTCTCCCTTCAAAGCCATTTGGGAGCAAGGCTGAGACAAGAGGCTTTGAAAGGGCCTGGATGAGGAGAGCACGGGTGGCAGACGAGAAGTGCCTGCTATGGGGTGGTGGGTGCCCAAGGGCCACCCAAAGGCTGTAGATCTCCCAGCAGCAGTGAGCTGAGCAGCTCAGTGTCCCAGAATATCCCGATACTCACTGCTCTGGGACATTTTGGGCTTTGCAATGTACTTTAGGATGGGGTTACGCTTCTTGTCTTCCATGGCATCCTTGTCCTTCTTCGTGCTGCTGCTCTGCTGGGACACCCGAGAGGAATGCTGGCATCACAACATGGGCAATACACCACAGCTCTTCCTCCATCCCAACCACACATTGCAGATGGAGCTGGGAGCAGAGCAGAGGGACAGCAGCCGTCGCGCCACTCACCTTCTTGGCTTTGGGGAAGAAGGGCAGCCACTTGTCCTTGTCCGGGAGGGCCTGTGCCTTCTCACTGGTGCTGGCCACACGTGGCTCACGGCTGCGGATGCCAGTGTGGTTCATGTATGTGCTGAGGGCAAAGGCCATGGGGGAGCTGCAAGAGAAGAGAGTCTGAATGGAGACAGAGCACCAGGACATGGCACCGTGGGTTGGAGGGTGAAAATGGGGTCTGGGATGACAAAGAGATCACTTCTCCCTGGCCAGGAGACACCTGGGAAGGGACAAGGAGGACAGAAAGGCAGCAGCCTTCAAGAAGGAGAGCTGGGGACACTCCTTCCCCAAGTCCTGACATCCTGATAGCCCCAGGGGTAAAGTTGGCACTGGGACAAGGTGCTGCAGGCCAGCATGGGAAAAGGGGTGGTTCAGCACCTCCTCTCTGAACCCCCTTTCCCCTCTTTAGTCAACAACAGCAATGCAGTCACAACTGGGTGCATGCTTGCCATGGCTGAGAGTCACTCACCTCCTGTCCTCTTCATATTTTGACCTGCAGAGAGAGATGGAGAGGAATAAAAGAGCTTGTTTGGGTTCCTCTGCTCAGCCCCAGGCAGCCATCCCAGGGCAGGGTGCTCCCTCTGAGCCCCCTGCAGCCCCTTCTTCCCACCTCTGCCACCAGCACCCCCAGCTCCTACTCCACATTCTCCCTCCCGACCTCAACCAGCACACTGGGGAGGTGGCAGGACAAGGCAGCCCACACTCACAGGATTTCACCCAGCTGTGCCAGCTGCTTCTCGGCCACCTGCCGCTCCTTCTGCGGGTCCCCATCCAGGTCCAGGAGGTCATTTTCCCCATATAGGCTCCCCAGGCCCATGGTGCGCTTCGTTCTGTGGGCAGATGGGGGTCAGAACCACGAGGCATACGGGAGGTATGCTGAGCTCTCTGGGGTGACCATTCCACTGTCACCTGTAGTCCTGGATCTGCTCCTGTATCTCGGGCATCACCATCTCCTGAGCTTCGAAGAGGGTAGCTCGGATATCATCCCCATTCCGCAGGCGAGCCTCTGGGTGGTAAAAGGACAGGCAGTGTCACCAGCCACGCAGGAAAGTGCAGTGAGGACCTTCTAGCAGCCCCTGAGCACTCCTCACTCACCGATCTCAGCCAGAAGCTGCTCCGACACCTTCACTCGGAGAGGCTGCAGAAGGAACACAACAGTGTGTGAAGGAACCTGGGACACAGCATGCATACCAAAGCCACGCTCACACGGCTCTGAGCTGCAGGGTGAGGTGCCCCGTGCTCCTGCACTGTCACTGTTCAGCATTTCTGCAGCTGGGGGGCGTGAGAGCTGAGAGTCCCACGCTCCCAGCGCACAAAGCGCCCAGCACTCACTGCAGCACTCAGAACACAAACCCCTGTGGAGCAGCGTGCTCCCTCCGAGCAATAGGTACCCCAGGAATAGAGGGCAGAGCTTGAGCCCCAGCCCTGCCTCCATGACCCCTGCTCCAAGCTGCCTGGTGCTGCTGCCATTGTGCAACGCCTGCGCAATGCTTTACGCAATTTGCACTGAAGCAGAGAAACCAGCATCAGCAAAGCACTGGCAGTGGCAAAAACTGTTAAAAAAGGACCCTCATGCAACGGACGTGACACTGATGCTGGCTTTCCAGCTGGTTCTCCCCTCCAGCCCCCTGTAGATGCAAGGACCCCGATGCAGGCACACAACCCCTGCCCTCACCGCATTCCGGTCCAAGAAGATGTTCCAGATATCCTTCCCCAAACCCCGGGAATCCTTTGCTGTTGTCTGCTGGCAAACGTCTGCGCATAAGTAGAAGAGCTGCAAGGAGGGGAGACCAGAGGTGGGCAGCGAAGAAGGAGGAAGGTTTAGAAGCAGGAAGGTGAAACATCCAATAGAGCAGCAGCCAGACGGCCATGAAACAGGAAACGACCGTGGGGGTCTGGGAGGGCAGCGCCCTCCCCGCATCACGCCTGGGAGGAAGGGGAGGACGTGTAACCCTACACTGGGCTTCCCTCACTGCTGCACAGCTGGGGACACGGCTGCCAGCAGCTGCCTGAGCTCTACACACAGAGCCTGCACCTCAGCAACGTGCTCAGCAAATCAGCAGCGCCACAGGCCCCAGGGATGTGGGGAAGGCACAGATACAATGCCCCACTGGCACTCCTCCTAGCTTGCTGCCTCCAGCTCTTACCAGGGGGCTGGGATCTGCCTGGGAGAATATGTAGCGCAGGAAGACTCCCAGATGTGCTGGTCGGGACTTCAGCTTGCCCAGGTCCTGGAAGAGGGAGTCGCACTGCGAAGCCCAAAGGAGAAGCATTGGTTAGGAAAGAAGGGAAACGACTTGTCCGGAGCCCCACGGCACAGCCCCAGGTGGACCTCCAGCCCCTGCTCCCCATTTCCCACCAGCCCAACCCAGGATGCCCCCATCCCCACCACGGCGGTGGATGAGCTGGTGACAGCTGTCATCCAGGAATGCTCTCGGCACGGGCTGGGATGACAGAGGCAGATGAGGTCACTGAACAGCTTCCTCCTCAGAGGATTTCTAAATGTCACTGCTTCCTGGGTTCCAGGGCATGCAGCCACAAAGGGAGGAGCATGGCAGGAGTGACAGCCCTGTCCCGTGACCTTGGCCAGCTGCCCCCAGAGAGATGGGACACGAGCCAAGAGCAGCTTGGTGCCACTACCTCGTTGTTAAAATATCCCGGATCGTAATCCTCCTCTGGCCCAATGATGAGAGGTCGTCCCGTGCGCTCTGATCCCTGCAGGAGATGGGGGACAGCGTTAGGAGCTGGGCACCAGCTTCACGGAGCGTGGGGACACTCGACGTGCCATCGTCACCCTGCTAGCTGGGTGATGCTGTGTGCCCAGGGCACTGGTCCCATCCTACCTGCTCAGTGGTGGGGGTGAAGGCGGTATCGGAGCCCTGCCGGCGATGGTGCTGGAAGAGGCGGGCGGTGATGACTGGGGAGGTGCGTGGGCTGTCCAGGCCATGGTCAGAGAGCACAGAGTTGCGGTTCAGGGAGATCTGCTCAGGGTGTTGGAGGGGACAGGTTGGGGATGGCTCTTGCCTGACCGGCAGGAAAGCTTAGGGTTGTCCCTCAAGAGCACTTTGCAGCTCTGAGACCATGAAGACCACATCCTCCATGAGCCCAGCGAACTTGGAAACCACATAAAACCTTCAGGGCTGTTTAAGACTGGAAGCACGAGCCTGGGGAGGGACCCCCCACTTCTGGGGCAGCAATGTCGGGACATACAGTGCAAGCCCAAGCACTGCAATCTCAGCTCTGAGCATCAAGAAATCCAGCTTGCTCAGAAGGTAAGCAAGTAATTACAACTACAAAGCCAGGCCCTTGGTTCCTAGTGCTGCAAAGACCCCTCCACCTGCACCCTGCTGTCATATTCAGCCACTCCAGGGGACATTTAGTTTTAAACAACACTTTCCCCCATCGCTGCCAGGGTCCAGCAGAGCTGGGCTGTGCTCTCACCTCGCTGACAGAGGGGAACCGCTCTGTGCCCGACTCCAACCCACTGTCACCATCCTGAGAGTCCAGCGAGAGGCGGCCTGGGAACAGAGGAGAGGCTGAGCCCTGTGTTCAGGTCTGCCCTGTGCACACTGAGGAGCAGGGAAGTACAAACTGCCAGCACCACTCACCTTCTGCTGCCCTGAACATCGCCATGCTGGAATCACCACACAGTCTCCCCAGATCCTGCAAGGTGAGGGGAATGTGGGACCAGTGGGATGTCACCCAGCACAGGCAGACACCCCGGCACAGAACAAGAGGACACTGGCTGCAGCAGCCCCCACCCACCATAGCAAAAGTGGGAAACCAGGAACACCCCCATGGCCACACTCCCCATCCCCAGAGGGAGCCCAGGACACCTTAAGCCTGGTGCCTAACCTAAGTTAGGGTTCCCATAGAACTTGTGCCCTTTGCTTACCACGGAGCCACCGGTCTCCTGGCGGATTTTGAGCTGCAGCTGGCTGACCCGCCGGCGCGCTCCCTCGATCTGCTCCCCCACCACAGTGCCAGGGTTGCGGTTGTACGCCTCGTAGAAGCGCTGAGTGAGAGATGAGGATGCTCACAGCGACCCCAAACCCATCAGCCTGCCCTGCTGCTCATGGGATGGGGGCAAACACACAGCTGCTGTGTGGCTCAATGGGCCGACGTGTGCATAAGTGCTTCCCTGGGCCAAACAGTACCCAAATGTTGCACATCTCCCCCACGTACCAGCGCAGTCTGGCTGGGATGCTATGGACTGCTGTGAGAGCCCATTAACTGGGCAGAAGAGAAGGGTGGAGAGCTGAGTTTCTCTCAGTGCTCACCAGCTCGAGCAAGGGACCACCCAGCCCAGAGTCACTCTTAGAGGAGAAGAAGCACTGTACCTGCAGCTCTGCCTCCTCTTGCCGCAGCATGTTCCGCAGAATCTGTGTTGCATGCTTCTGAACCTCAGGGTCCTGCAATGTAGGTTGGACACAAGACAGGCTGAGCTCTGCCCACGATGCACTGCAGCCTGCAGGAAGGCAGAGAGCAGGGTGGGCAGGATACATTACCTGTAAGGGCTTGGGGCCAGTGATGCGCTGCGGCGGGGGGAGTGGTGGGGGCGGAGGTGGTGGGGGGCAGGCAGGGGCGTTGCGGGGTGCCCCTGTCGTGCTCATGTCTTGCTGGGAGTTGGAGAGCCCCACTGACGGTGGTGGGGAGCCCAGGAGAGTCAGGGCCACGTAGGCACCAGCTGAGGACATCCAGGATTAGAAGGGAAGGGAAAGAAAATCTCCCGTTATTCACTCCCTGAAACATCAGGTGAGCATCGCAGCAATGGGTGGGCACATCCCTATCCCTGTGTGCCTGTGGACAGACTGAGACAGATTACCTCATCTTCTCCCAAGAACCAAGCCCTGCCCTTGGGCATAATGCTGTCCCTCACCAGCTGGGGATGTAGCCTTGTCCCCAGCAGCAAAAAAAGGAAAGCTCAGGCCCTCAAGCTCAGAGGTGTGGCAGTTTGTGGCCATACTCACACTTGATCAACTTCACCACCTCGAGGTGGGAGCTGTTGGTCACCATGGTGCCGTTCACCTGGCAGAGGGGAGGAGAGGAGAGCCATCAGCTGCGGTCACAGCAGCAGGGCATGGCAGCACAGGCCACGACGCTCACCTTGACTATGCGGTCCCCCTCCTGCACCCCAGCCTTCATGGCCGCTCCTCCTGCAGGACAGACAGACAGACCGACATCAGGAAGAGCTGTGCAACACGATGTGAACACCACCTTCCAGCCCAAAGAGCCCCTGTGCTGCTCAAGCAGTCACAACCCAGCCCTTCCCATCCTTGGCCAGACTCAGGTTCCAGCATCCGCAGTGACTCCTACACATCCCAGAGCACCACATGCATGTGGACACCAGAGAGGGGCCCAGCAGCAGCGCTGCTCTGCTCCTCTCCCCATTCCACTCTGTAACAAAGCCACCGAGGCTGAAATACAGGGAAAATTATCTTTTCCTCAAGCCAAAACCGAGAGGAAATGTTTCCATGAGCTCCGACTCCAGGCCAAGGGGCTGAGACACAGCAATGAGCTCCAAAAGTGGAAAGTACATGGGATCGCTGGGATTCTTTTGGCTCTCAGTGCTCTCACTACTGGCAGTGAGTGACGCGGGTGGGCGTCCCCGCCGTCCCACGCCTGGCTGAGGTGGGTGCATGTGACCACACACCAAGCAGCAAAGCTGGGGAAGGCCCCGTCCCAGTCTCTGTCTCTCTGGAGCGAGGGGCATGGAGGGGTCTCCCGTTATAGGAGAGAGCTCCTGTTATAGGAGAGAGGAACCCCAGTGCAAACGTGCCCTTGAAACCCGCAGTGCTTTCCCTTTACTATATTCTCATTTTTCCTGGCTTTCGGGCTGGAGGGGGGGAAGGGGGAGGAGGTGGGAACATCCGCTGTAAAATAAGCAGCTCATTGTCTGTCTAAATTGCTGCTCCCAGCCCTGCCACCCCGCAAAGTCATTATACTGCAAAACCAGCAGCATCTCCTGCAGCACAGCGCCAAGAGCCGCGCGCTGCCGACGTGTGTTTACCCAGGGCTGCTGGAGGGAATTCCCCACCCACCCACCCACCCATGGCAGAACTTAACCTGTCCCTGCCCAGGGATGCCCCAAACCCCGCTGCATCCCCCGCTGAGGAGACAAACCCTTGGTGCTACGTTTCTCCAGAGGCACGGAGCAGGTGAGGGGGTCCCGAGGTGTCCCCCAGCCCCCCCATCCTCTCACCTGGCCGCACGGACTGGACGAGGACGATGCGGTCCCCACTGACGGTGAAGCCGAAGCCATGCTGGTCCTTCTGGATGATGACACACCGCTGGACCAAACCTGGGGAGGGAGAGGAAGAAAAGCCAGTGAAGCTCTGAGCCATGGCTCTGCCTGATTTTGGGAGCTGCAGCAGCACTTGGGGCTGCAGTGTGGACCACTGTGTGCAACCCAGCCTTTCAATGCCAGAACATCCCTGCTGCAGGATGGAAATTATGGCTTATAGGAGCACCAACCCCACACCCACAGCTCCATCCCAGCCCAGGGGACATTTCAGGGCTGTTTGAAGCCTGCTGTTTGGAGGGTCCCTTCCTATCCACAGCCTGTGCATGGATGTGATGCAGCCCAACACTGCTAACGCTGGGAGCTGTTGGCTCTCCAACCAAGCAAAGAGCTCAGCACTGTCCTCAATTACAAGAACCCACCTGTGGTCTCGGAGGAATCAGAGGGCTGACGGCGGTGTCCTGGAGATCTCCGCTCTGAAGACGAATCACCCAGGGAAGACAGGCTGCTCAACCTGCAGGGAGAGCACGGTCCCCAGTCACCACTGAGACCTGGCTTCTCCTCAGGAACAACACATGCCCAACGTAGGGAAGCACCAGCAGCTGGCACCTGCCTGCCCCTTGGGAAAGCGCTTCTCCCATCCCAGCCCCAAGGGATGCTCAGGGGGGTGAGGGAGAGCAGCACAGGGGACAGGCAGAGGACAGGGGCGTCATGCAGTGCGCGCAGCCGCAGGGCTCGGCAGGCTGCAGAAGGGTTGATGGCAGAAGAGGGAGGAAGCTGCAAGGGATGGAAGAGAGATGGACAGACAGACGGACGGACAGCAGATGGTTCAGTGATGTTTCGCCCCCTCGCTGAGCCTTGTGGTCCCGCAGCAGGGTGCAGCATGGACAAGCTGCCTGAGGACTTTGGGCCATTGCAGGGATGCAGCACATCCCCTCGCCTGGTGCTGGAGGGATGGCAGCGGGAGGTGGGGGCCCAGACAGTGCCTCCATTCCCAAATGGGAACACAGCTGCTTCCTCATCCCTGCTCCTGCCAGCGCTGCGGGGCCGTGCCGGAGCTGGGAGTCCCAGAGCACCAGGAGAGTGATGCTGGGGCCACAGCACCACTGGCAGGAGCAGCCATGGGTCCGTGCCCTGCCCCCAAGGGCTGCAGTGAAGCGAGGGTGCAGCGTGCGAGTTCAGGCAGCCCCGACCCTGCTTACCTGGGCAGGCGCTGCCTTTTGCTGCCCGCTCTGCTGCCAGCAGAGCACAGACCCCAATGGAGGTGGCACAAGACCCAGAAGACAGCAGTGCAGGAAGGGGGAAAGAGGAGACAAACAGATCAAGAGACAGAGGGACACACAGCACAGCCAGACTCCACACTGCCGCCCCGCATCCTGCAGGACAAGCAACCTCCATGAAAGAAAGGCACCCCAGGACCCTCTGTCGCCACTTTGGGGGCACACAGTGGGGTCCTGGCACCACCCAAACCCCCACAGGATCAAAGTTGGAGGCAGTGCCAGCCGGAGAGCCACGCTGCCAGTTTCCAAGACTCAACAGCTCCGAAACCACAATTACAGGCATTGAGTAATTCACCCCTTTCCATGGGATCAGCACTCTCCTCCTGCCCCAGTGCCACAGGGCCATGGCACAGAACCAGCTCCCTGCAGGCCCTGGCCATTGGGAAGCATCTCAGTGGGGGCTGCTGGGGCCATGCTAACTCCAACCCCATACAAGCAGCCATTGGGCACAGCTGCTGATCCACCCCATCACGTTTGCAATCAGGGGGATGCAATCAGGACCTTGGCAGGATGGAGCCCAGGCACATTCATAGGCTGAAAATGCAGGGGCACAACACCGACGTGATCCTGGTGCGATTACCCATCAGGATTACCCCAGGATTACCCCTGGGATTACCCATGGGATTACAGGCAGGCGGGCACGGGGCAGGAGGTGCCTTTATCCAGGCCAAGCTGAGGTCGGTTCTTTCAGCATCGCCCCACGTGCAGAGACCCCAGAGGGGCCGTGCTGTGAGCTCTGTGCTGTAAACCTGGCAACTGGAGCTGCACAGAGCCCGGTGCACCGAGCTCACAGCCGGACCCTTCCCGGATAACCCGCAGCCGCCGGGCCAGTGCCGGCTTATTTCCGTCTAAAAGAGTAGTTTAATTCGGCTTTGCATAAGCTTCTTCCTAATTGACTTATGGGGAGCCAAACCACGCCTGTTCTGAACCAAAGGCAGCGCCAACACAACCGAGCCCTGAGCCAGGCTGCAGCAGCGCTGCGATTTCCCTTTTGGGTGCAATTCTCCGGGATTTGGGGCCGTGCAGATGCTTGCCCTGGAGGTGACACGCACACCGACGAGCTCCGCTGGCCCAACGCTGGGGAAGACATCACCTCCTAAATCTGTGACCACACAAACATCAGCCCTTGGGTTTTCCTCAAAGATTTCACTCCGGAGCCCTCCAGGCTCCAAATTCCGCGGTTGCAGGGCTGACTCACAGAGGGCCCTGACTCACTGCAGCCCCACGGCTGCCAGGCTCTGACCGGCCCCAGCCCGATGTCCCACGCTCTGCTGCGCCCAGGGCAAGTCCTGCTCCTGGACTGACGTTATTTTCTCCAGTTCTGGTTATTTTTAGCTCAATTATCATCTCTGGGTGGGACGTCCCCATGTCAGCAAGCTGGGGATGCTGAGCCCCCATAGTGGCACCGCAGCACTCAGGAGGAAGCGGGCACCAGCGGCATCACTCGGCTCTTTCCTAGGGCAGAATTCTTCCCATGGGACAGGGCAATCCTAAGGGCAATTCAGCTTGAAAATAGTGGCAAAAAAAAAAAAAAGGAGGGAAAAAAAGCACATCACCCACACTAAAGAGCAAACACCCCCGGCCCAGCGAGTGCTGCCCACACAGAGCAAACGCCACAATTAAACGATTAAGAGAGAAACAGGATCAAACCCTCAAAGTGGGTCAGGCTGCAGGCAGAGCCGTGCAGCTGCTGGCTCCGGGCTGGGATCTTTTTTTCCTTCCCCGTCTCCAAATGGCTGCTCCCTGCAGTCCCCTCCCGGGGACACCGACGTCAGACACGTCGGCACGGCACGCTGCCTGGCCGGAGCGGGACGGGAGCTACCAACAATATAAATAAACAGGGGATAAAAGAGGAAAAAACACCACTCGGAATTGGGCAGCTCGCTGGGATAGGGGGGGGAAAAAAAGAAAAAAAAAAAACCACCCAACTTGGAAAGGGAATCGGGATGCTTGCAGTGCGATGCTGCGCTGATCGGCGCTTCCCGCTGCAACCCACGGCCCCAGCGAGCCGCACAGCCCTTCCCCTCCTGATATTCTGGGGCAGGAAGGAAGGAAGGAATTTCAGCTAAAAATGATTCAACTTCCTCTCCTTCCCCCTCCCCATGGTGTGGCACAGGGGGGACGGTGTGAGCCCGGCACAGCCAGCCTGGCACGTGTGCATCGCATCGCAGGTCAGGCGCGGAGCTCAGCGAGCCCTGCTTAGGGAAGCCAACGGGCAGCACAGCCCCATTGCACTGTGATACCCACACAGGAGCCCTCCAACCTCGCTGGGCTTTCAGCAGCCAACCCGTTTGTTTGTCTTCTTGTTGCTTTTATTTCCGAGGGAGAGAAGCAAAGCGAAGCAAAGCTTGGCCCGTGGGTATCAATTTTCCTTCTGCAAATCAGACGCAGAGCTCCACGTCCACGGCAAACTGAGTTTAAAACCCTGGGTTCCTGCAGCAACCTTGCTGCAGCAGACATGATTCCGTGGGAGCTTTGTTTAAATTAAGGTTTTTAATTAAATGGGAGGGGAAAAAAATTAACACGAGTGCAGCAGCCCCGGTTACTTAATGGCGCGGCAGACTCCGTTCCTGTGAATTTTGGCACTGCCCATTCCCTGCGGGGAGCCTCAATGTGGCGAGGTGGGGACTTTGGTGACGGTGACACCAAAGGTGCAACCTAGAAGGGAACACCAGAGGGGTGAGACCTTGGCCACAGCCTGTAGGAAGGACCTGGTCCTGCAGCTGCTGGTGGGGACCTGGACACAGTGGGGACACCGCAGTGGAACCGCAGGGACGCCTTGAGCCATGCCAGCTGTGCCAAGCAGGGCAGGAGCCGGGAGCACAGCGCCCGGGGAGCTCCTGTTGCTCAAGAGCTGCACGAGGGGCTGAGAGATGAGCATTTGTGCCTGAACGATGTTTGAGGAGCGCTTTGCACATGAACTGTGCTCCACAAATGCTGCGGCGTTAGTGCTGCCAGCGGCACCGAGCGAGCCCGCGCCCATCCAACCCTCTCCTCCCTGTTGGGAGAACTGTCTGCCATCCTGCCCCTCCCTGCCCGCGGCACGGGAGTGCAGAGGGTGGCAGGCAGGGAAAGCAAAGCTAGGCTCCGGGCTCCTGTGAAGGAAACACCGTTCCCACGTGGCTCTGCTGCCGTGCCCATGGTGCCGCTCGGCCCCGACAAACCCAGCGTGGCCGAGGTGGTTCACCCCTGAAGCCACATGAGGTGTGAGGCAGCAAGTGAGGCACAGAACAACTGCCCTGCAGGGACGCTTTCTCCCTGCCCTCCCACCACGCACGCCCTGCGGCACCCTTCCATCAGAGCAGCACGAGGAGCTGCAAGGAACAGCGCTGGGAATGGCTCCTGTGGGTTGAGGCTGGAGGCTGCAGAGCAGAGACTGAGTGCCATCATCTTCACACATCCCTGCCCATGGGATGGCACTGGGATGGCACCAGGACGGCACCAGGTTGCCTTTTCCCTGCGCAAACCCTGAGGCCGCCCCTCACCAGCAAGCCAGAGGGAGAAAGTCCTCGATTTCACACCATTTCACCCATTTTCAGGTTGCTTTTGTGCTGGAGAACAGCTTCCCAGGGCACCTGAGGCTGCTGACCTTACGGAGCAGCAGGACGGCGGCTATTTAAGGAGCAGAGAGAGGCATTAAGCCTCACACCGACACCTGGCACCCGCTCCAGGTCACAGCAAGCAGCACCTCCAGATCACGGCCTCACCACCACTGAGCCCAGCAAAGCCCAAGGCAGAGCCTGGTGCGTGGCTCTGCAGCCGTGCTGCATCCCAGAGGCGAAGCACTCGGTTAATCCTACCCACAGCCCACACTGAGCACCAGGCAGGGGTACAGAGAGGAGCAGCCAAGCTACCCCAGCACTGAGTGCCCCCAACCACAGCCACGAGGCGACGGACGGATGAGCCGGGCGGTGAGACGGGTTCAGAGCCCAGCACAGGAGCACGGACACCCAGCGAGGGCTCCCCACAAAGCGTTCTCAACATCCAAACGCCTGATGGATGGGCAGCATCCCCTCTCCCACCTGGACCATGCCCCCACAGTTATTTGACAGCGTTGCTCCCTGCTCCTTCGGGCCACCGTTTCCAACATCAGCCAGCTGCTCCTTGAAGCTGAGCTGCATCTTTTCAGGGTCCCCATTCTAGGGTCACAACAACAACAACTGCAGCACCTCAGCCAAACCTCACAGCGCTTTGGGGATGTGAAGAAGGGCTCTTTGGGGGGGGGGGTCCCACCCACAGCCACCCCACAGTCACACAGTTCAGCCCCGGGGGAGCTGTGGGCACTTAATCTATCAGCAAGAATTAATTAAAAATAACCCACCACCAACCTGCAGGCGAAAGGAACCCAACGGTGGGACACAGCGAGGGGCACAGGGATGCACCAAGGGGACAGGACAAGGCACCCGACCCAATGCCAGCACCCAGAGCCACTGCGTGCGTTCAGCCCCAGCGCCGCTGGGTCCATTCGACACCAGCACCACTGTGCCTGCTGACTCCCAGCACACAGCACCACTGCATGCACTCAGCCCCAGTGCCCAGCACTAATGCATGCACACAACCCCAGCACCACTGTGTCTGTTCAACCCCAGTGCTCAGCACCATTCCATGCACTCAGCCCCAGCACCACCGCATCCATTCAGCCCCGCTGCTCAGCACCACTGTGCCCGCACAACCCCAGCAACCACTGTGTCTGTTCAACCCCAGGGCTCAGCACCACTGCATGCACTCAGCCCCAGTGCCCAGCACTGCTGTGCCCAGGCAACCCCAGCACTGCTGTGCCCACTCACCCCCAGTGCTCAGGCAACATTACATGCACTCAGCTCCAGCACCATTGCATGTACTTCGCCCCAGCACCACTGCATCCATTCAGCCCCACTGCTCAGCACTGCTGTACCCACACAACCCCAGCACCACTGTGCCTGCTCACCCCCAGTGCTCAGCACCATTGCATGCAATTAACCTCAGCACCACTGCATGCACTCACCCCCAGTGCTCAGAACCACTGCATGCACTCAGCCCCAGCACCACTACATGTACTTAGCCTCAGCACCACTGCATCCATTCAGCCCCAGTGCCCAGCACCACTGCATGCAATTGACCTCAGCACCACTGCATGCACGCAGCCCTGCTGCTCAGCACCACCGTGCCCACACAACCCCAGCACCACTGCATGCACTCAGCCCCAGCGCTCAGCACCACGGTGCCTGTTCAATCCCAGTGC